TTTTTTTTTTTTTTTTACTTCATCCCAGTGCATTTTTAATACTTACGGTACAACTTAAGAGTTTATTTAATCCTTAGGGAAAAAGCAAAAAAGGTGATGAATTTTTTTTCAGCATTATGTACCTTTTGTTTACTTTAAATATTTTACTAAATAAATACTCTTAATAGCCATTCCAGTGTATTGTTAAAGAAACTGCACCAAAAGACTTATTTTTTTATATGTTGGTTTTAATGTGGTAAGAATCTACATTGCCTGGTAATAGAAAAATATTTACATTTTCCCTGCCTCCTCAAATATACAACAGAACACCACAGAACGTAAGAGATTCTTGTGAATTCTTATTTATTGCTCACTGAGATCTTACTGTAATGGCAGGGCCTTCTCGCAACATGGGAAAGAAAAGCTTAGACTGGACTGAAGTATGGCTGATAAACTATAAAACTAGAAAAATAGGTCACTTTATCCCTGTGGTCATTTATAGGCAATTGATACACTCTGTACTTGCGAGGTTGACCACCTTTCAAACTAAATTTTATTCTCTGTGTGCAAATAGTCTGCAGCGGGGGAACAAAACACATTGGCTGTGCCAGCTAGTATTAAAAAAATAAAAAGAAATTAAGAGATCAACGTGAAATCTACTTTGGTTTTGTAAGCTATTAATAGTACCTTCCAAAACAGGGACATCAAAAATGTGAATTCATATGAGACAAAACCCAAACAATTAAAAAATATAAAATTTCAATGCACAAGAAATCATTTTGTGCTATTTCATAGAGCTTCTATGGAATGCTTGAAAGTATAGGAAAACTGTAATATGCACTACAATAAGTGCCAAGGTGCATTTGCATGAGGGTCACTGAAAAGCAGATGACATGAACTCACTGAACAAGAAGAGAGAGTAAAGTACAAAAACAGTAATAGACACAAAAAATGGCAACAAATGTCATCGCCTTGAAAGATTCACATCGGCTTTTCACTGACTGACACTTGTTACACAAACGTACATATCGACTATTAACACATCTCGACTTGCTTTTCCAGTTACCTGCAAACATACTTTCATAGTCCATGTCTTACCAGTAAAACTTAGTAATTGGGTGGAGTTTCCATATCCAATCGGCTGTTTTTACTGAGGGACTCTCTTGTAGAAGAGCAGGTAGGGTGTAGAGGTGGAGCATGTCTCGGGGGAACAGGCTCTGAGGAAGTCCTCTTCTTCAAAGAGTCTCACTTCAGAGTCATCAAACAGCATCCACTTTCCCTCAAAGTCCAAAAGGTTTCGCAGAGCGAGGTCAAAATTCACCTGGGTCCCGTCGCCCATAGCATCAACTCCCTCTTCCTCGGTCTGTTTCTTCACTGCGTTCTGAAGCAGAGAACCAGCGGCACGACTGGCTAAGCTGGAAGCCTTCTCTGGATTGGTTTGACTGCTGTTGCTGAGCTCGTAACTGGTGACGCTCCTCTGTCCTCCTAAAAGCCCAACACCCTCAGAGCACCTTTTGCTTCCTGATTTGCTGGACATGCTTGTTGCACTGGCTCTGGCCACATTTCGCCCCCTGCCAGACGAGCTGAAAGACACCTCACCATCATCGTACTCTGTTTGAGGTACCTCTTCTTTCTTAGGTTTCATGTCTTCTTCTCTGTCCCGGTCTTGCTCTTCATCCTGAGACTGAAGCCTGAAAGTGGTGCGATGGAGATCCATCATGCGGATGTAAGTGGTGTAGTGACCACTGCTGATGGTTACTCCGCTGTGCATGACCACGGCAAAGAGCTCGTAGTGATGGCTCTGGTCTGGAGAATCAGGCTGAGTGCACCACTCATGCAGAGAAAGTTTGAGAGGGGTCTGCAGAGGAGTATTCACCTTGGAAAGGCCAGCATAAGGGTCCATCCTAAAGAGTGAAGATGATTTTACCAGCTTCTTAATGCACATTGGTAACTTTAACAAGACAGAATAAAATATTTTGCCTCAAGTTGCTATTTCTGACTTCTTCTGTTGTAACAAAAAAAGGTGGGCAATAAAAATTGGTTTCAAGTTGCCAGCTTTGGCCATTGGGGGGCACATTGATTTTAGTTTCTCTTCTTGTAAGAAATGCTAAATCCTAAACATTTTCACCCTGATTTCTCGGTGTCTTAATGTTTTCTTTATTTTTTTTCTTCTGCTGTAATAAACAATGGAAACAGACTCAGGGGGGCAATTTACTGTGTTCTACAGGGCTTCCATAGTTGAAAGATCGGAACGAAGCATTAAAATCAGAAGAAGATACATACTCAGAGCCATTGGCAGCAAAGCATTTCAGGTGGATTGTGATGACTTCTGGTGTTTTGTCAAACAAAAGACTTCTCTCAGCTTCTGTGTAGTGATGACAGGTCTCACAGAAATATTTATCTTGACCCACAATCCGCTCCACAGATGCAAATTGAGATATGGCCCACTTTAGAGTTTTCAGCTCAGGCTTGGGATCTGGAGAAACTGAAAAAGGAGGATACCGTTATAAAATTATCTAACCAGCATCCGAGAGTGTTGACTGATAGACAAACACACATGGATTCAAACACTGTCAATAGCCACTTTTCCACTGTTGGGCCAGTGCTTTAAACGAGCCAGACCACTAAAACCCGCCCTTTACACGCCTCTCAGGAACAACGTCACGCAACCCCATCATTTCACCAACAAAGAGAACTTATCAGAAAACTAATAAGAAATAAGTCACTGGAACTAGCGCGATTACAAAACGAACATTATAAAAGCGGCCGATTGTTTGCATGCTTTGTTAAAAGATTTAAATCCAAAAGCATCTATGTTTTACAATAAGTGATACATTGATCTTAATGAATTAATTGATCAGGATTGAAAATTAGTCACACAGAAATAAAGCGGTATGAACATAGCCTATCTACTTATTCAGTCGAGTCTGTTTATTTGTAGTCACAGTATAT